ACTTCCCTCTGGCCACCTACGCCCCAGTTATCTCCGCAGAGAAGGCCTACCACGAGCAGCTGTCTGTGGCTGACATTACCAACGCCTGTTTCGAGCCGGCCAACCAGATGGTGAAATGCGACCCCCGCCACGGCAAGTACATGGCCTGCTGCCTCCTGTACCGTGGTGATGTGGTGCCTAAAGATGTCAACTCTGCCATCGCCACCATCAAAACCAAGCGCACCATCCAGTTTGTGGACTGGTGTCCCACTGGCTTCAAGGTGGGCATCAACTACCAGCCACCCACCGTGGTTCCTGGAGGAGACCTGGCCAAGGTGCAGAGGGCCGTGTGCATGCTGAGCAACACCACCGCCATCGCAGAGGCCTGGGCTCGTCTGGACCACAAGTTCGACCTGATGTACGCCAAGAGGGCCTTCGTCCACTGGTACGTTGGAGAGGGGATGGAGGAGGGAGAGTTCTCTGAGGCCAGAGAGGATATGGCCGCCCTGGAGAAGGATTATGAGGAGGTGGGCACCGACAGCGTGGGGGACGAAGGAGAAGAAGGGGAGGAGTACTAAGCCACTGAAACATCTGTGGTGAAGACTCTGACCCTCCAGAGCCTGGACGACCATCTCTTTAGCTTGGCTTCAGTTATTTTGGCACGTGACTCAAGATTTTAAACTCTTAACGATGAAGGACACCGTAATGTTTAACTAGGTTTACAAAAACAAAACCAGGGTTCAGCTGTTGCATCTGGTGACTTAAAGAGAATGTTAATCTTTCTATTTTCTTTTGAGTCATTCCAAATGTTGGTTAACTGCATTGTTCTGACAGGCATTGATGATGGGATGCTAGGCCGGGGGAGGCAACCTGTACACTGACTAAACCATTTCAATAAAGTGCACTTGTGTTCCGACATGACATCTGCCTCTTCCATTAAATTACTTTATATCAAGGTGAATGTGACTTCCCTATCTGGTACAGAAAATAACACATGATCATTTCAATATATTTTTCAATGATGATGAGAAATGTTTTTAAAAAGGACCACTCAATCGAATTTTCAAATGTTTTGGCGTGTGAGATCCGAGTCAAAATAATTAAAATGACTGAGTTAAACCTCAACTAAACGGACACACATCTGCTTTAAGGAAGTTAGTGCATACTCATGCCTACAATTAAATGTTCCTATATGACCCAATGCAAATGTACTTGCTATTCGCTTTGCAATTATTAATTTGATTAAATATAATGTGACTATAAATAAAATACAGACAGCGGAGATAAATACTCTTTAATGTTTGTGGCTTGTGCTTTTAGTGCACATCTTTCAACTAAAAGAGCTATTTATCTGCTTACTTTGATCAGTATCTCCTTCAGGCTTTATGCTGACCTATTTACTGCAGTGTTACCTTGATCAGCTTTGAAATGATAAATTAAACGCAGAACCCACTGAGCTCAGATCCGTCACTTATTGATGCACAGAAGACTTTGTGTCCTAACCTCTCATATTGTATTATCATTTGTGATTATGATCTCCTGAGATCATGAGATTGTTTATAAGCTATAAAACCCAGTGATGAGAAAATTGACAAATCAAACAGTGTTTTTGGGAGGTGTGTGGCGCAGTGGACTAGTGCGTTGGTGTTCAGATCAGGGGGTCACAGGTTCAAACCCCAATGCAGTCAGCATGTCGTTGTGTCCCTGGGCAAGACACTTCACCCCAAATTGCTCCTGTGGGGATTGCTCACAGCATTGAGTATGTAAGTCGCTTTATAAAACCGTCTAACAAATAACATGTAATGTTTTTCCTCTCCGAACACACATACAACTAAGATCGCAGGCGTGTTCTCCGAGGCAAGAAAGTTGAAAACATAGGATTTTATGGAGAAATACTCCTGTTCAAATGTAAAGATTAAGACCTCTACTGTACGCTCAACGGGCACTACTTTTTGTTAACATAACTGAAATATATTCCCAGTGGTGTACTCTACAGTCAGTGTGTAACACAACACATCCCTTGGTTAACAAACTGCACCTCCTTGATAAGCACTAAACATTTAAGCTTTAATTCCTCCACAAAACAGGTGGGTGCAATGCCTTACATATTATAAATACCTCAGGATTAAACCAGGAGTGTTTAGTGGTGCTTGGAATAGTTTTCAGTTTGTTTTTAAGTAATGTCTTTTTACACAAACAGGTAAGTTCAGGGTTCACTTTACAATGAAAAAATGTAGATTTATGAACAGAGAGAGTCCACAGCACCTGAGGCCTGTATTACGAAGCCGGATTTCTGCTTAGCGAGCTAACTTCAGGGTAAACTCTGGGTTTCCGGTCCTACGACGCTGGTTCTCTTCTTAACGGGCTAGATCTCCATGGTAACTTATGCTGAACGGCTAGCCTGGTCCGGAGCAGGTTAGGTTCCAGGATAAGAGATCAACTCAGTGAAAGCACTGCCTGCTGACCAATCAGAGCTCAGTGTGCGGCGGTTTAAAGCTATCAAGTCCTATTACAGGATAAAGGAAATACAGAAAAACTGCCGTTGCAGGAAAGACGGCCGGCAAAAATCAACTGACTGATCGTGAAAATTAATAGAATGTCACCGCCCATCTCCAGAGCAATCTGACTAATATATAACATTAGCGTTAAGAAAGCTTACTTAAATATCTGCCACAACATAAGTAACCGGATCAAAGTAACATGACGTACAGTCCACGGCACTGTGAGTGCAGACGTCGATGCGTCACATTATATTCATATCACATGATATCACATCATAATGTATCATATATTTCCTTATCTGAGTCAGCTGAGCCGTATCTGGCCATGCAACACTCACAGTGTCACATACTGTATGCAGAAGTATTATTTTAAGCAACACATTAAGTTGACGAAACACTAGAGTCAAAT